AAAGAATATTTATAGCACTGAGTACATATGAGAGATCTATAATCAATAATCTAAGCTCTTACCTTAGGAAACTAGAAAAAAAAGAGCAAATTATATCCAAAGTAAGCAGAAGAAAAGAAATAATAAAAGCCAGAGTAGAAATAAATAAAATTGAAACAAAAAATAGAGAAAAGTCAATAAATCCAAAAGCTATTTCTTTGAAAAGGTCAATAAAATTGATAAACCTATAAGTGGGCTAACCAAAAAAAAAAAAAAAAAGAGAGAGAAGACACAAATTACAAACATAGATACAAAAGATCTATGGATCTTTGTATGCCTTGTATGCCACTATGGATGCAATAGATAATAAAATATAAACAACTCTATGCCCACAAATTTGATAACTTAAAAAAAGCTGATCAACTCTTTGAAAAACACAATCTATAAAAACTCGCACAAGAAAAAAGTGAATAATATGTATAGGCCTATATCTGTTAAAGAAATTGAATCAACAATTAATAACCTTCCAAAATAGAAATCACCAGACCCAAGTGGTTTCACTACTGAACTCTATCAAACATATAAGCAAGAGATAATACCAACACTACAATTTCTTTAGAAAATAGAGGCAGAGGGAAAAATTCTTAGCTCATTTTATGATGTGAGCATTACCCTAATACCAAAGCCAGAAAAGACATTACAAAAAAGGAAACTTACAGAACAATATCTCTCATGAACATAGATGCAAAACTTCTCAAGAAAATCCTATCAAATTGAATCAATATATTAAAAAACTTATACATATGATTAAGTGGGATTTATTCCAGGTATGAAAAACTGGTCCAACATTCTAAAATCAATTTAATGTAACTGATCCCACCAATAGGCTAAAGAACAAAAACCATATGATCACATCAGTAGATGCAGAAAAAGTATCTGACAAAATCCAAAACCCATTCAAGATATAAACTCTCAGCAAACTAGGAATAGAAGGTAACTTCCTCAACTTGATAAAGAATATCTACAAAAAAACAACAGCTAACATCATACTTAGTGGTGAAGAATAATTAGTTTCCCCCTAAGATCTGAAACAAAGCAAGCATGTCCCCTCTTGCCACTCTTATTCAACATCATATTGGAAGTCCTAGCTAATGCAATAAGAAAAGGAAATAAAATATGTAGATTGGAAAGGAAGAAATAAAAACAACATAGCCCAGCAATTCCTCTCTGAAGTTTTTACCCCCCACTCCCAAAAAACAAAACATATCTCAACACAAAAACTTGTACACAAATGTTTACAGCAGCTTTATTCATAATCACCAAGAATTGGGAGCAACCTCATCTTTGTTAACCATTGCTGCACAACAAATTATTCCAAAATTTAGCAGCTTAAAATACAAAACATGCATTATTTCACAATTTCTATAGGATAGGAATTTGGGTGCAGTTATTAGTGGGCAGTTTGGCTCAAAAGTCTCTCATGAGGTTGCAGTCATATTACCTGAAGCAGTTATGTGAAAGCTTGACTGCGGATGAAGGATCTGTTCTAAGGTAGCTTGCTCAAATAGCTGTTAACAAGAGACCTCAGTTTCCTCATTAGCTACTGGCAGGATGCCACAGTCCCTCACCATAGAGCCATTCATTTCCTCACAAAACAGCAGCTAGCTTCCCCCAGAATGAATGATCCAAACAACAGCAAGGTGAAAGCCACAGTGTCTTTTAAGACCTACTCTCAGAAATCACATACCATCACGTTTTCCATATTCTACTGGTCCCAGAGACCAACCCCAGAACAATGTGGGAGTGGTCTACAGAAGGGCATGAATACCAGAAAGCAAGAATCACTGGGAACCATTTTGGAAGCTGGCTACCACAAACCTAAATGTACATTAACTGGTGAATGAATAAACAAACTGTGGTACCTCCATACCGCAGAACAGTAATCCGCAGTAAAAAGGAACAAACTACTGATCCATGAGACAGCAAAATTCACAAATGCATTATGCTAACTGAAAGAAGCCAGACCCAAAGGCTGCATACAGTATGATTACATTTATGTTAACATTCTGAGAAAGACAAAACCAAAGGGACCCAAAATAGATCAGAAGTTGTCAGAGGCTTGGGAGGGGGCAGAAGAATGACTACAAAGGGGCATGAGGGAACTTTTTGGAATGATGGAAATGTTCTATATTTAATTATAATGATGCTCACATGTTTGCACGTGATTATTAAAATTCATAGAACTGTATGCCTAAAAAGGGTGAGTTTTATTGTATGTAAATTATATCTTAATAAACTACACACAAAAGGAGAGAGAAAAGAATCTTAAGGGGAAACAAAAGAGGCTTGGCTGGGAAGATGGCTACAGGAGTCTTAATGGGTAAATAACAGAAGTTTCTGAAAGAAAGATGACTACTAAACCAATAACATTATAATTAAAGTTCCTCAAGCTAAAGAATTTCTCTGAGCTTGAGTCTGCAGATTGAAAATGGCTAACAAATTACGGGTTAGACAGATAAGAAAAGATATACACATATCTTGGCAAAAGTCTTGAACTCCAAGAATAAAAAGAAAAATCTCAGACACTTCCAGAATGAATAAGTTACTTAAAAAAGAGAGACAGGCATATGCCTTCTCACCAGCAAAATGGAAAAGAGGATACTGAAAGCATTTTCAAATTTTTGAGAGAAAAGGACTGCCACCCAAGAATTCTCTCCCACATTTGGAATATGTAATCACCCAAAAAATATTATCACCCACTTATCATATCTAAAGAAATAGCCAATTAAAAAAAAAAACTAAATAACTGAATCATAGCAGAGATGGGGAGGCTACAGAGGAGACCTTATGACATATATGTACTTACATCTAGATATTAATAAAGCAGTTGGACAGAGATACAATAAATGAAAACCCAGTTCATTAGAATTAAAGTAAAACACTGACACAAAAAAAATGTTAAAGTGAGGTCACTGTACGAGGAAACTGTAAGTAACTATTACCAAAGCTTTTTGTTTTGTTTTGTTTTACCTGGTTTGCAAGATGAGAGTGACCAAACAGCTTGTGACCCAATTTCCCGTACTGTTCCAGTTCTTTCCAACTGCTTAGGGTCAGCACCAGGAGGTGTCTTGTTTGGTGTGGTCATTTTAAAAATATTCTACATAGACAAAAAGAATACACACATCATACCAGGACCTGGGCATCTTTCCACAAAATGTAAAAATAAAAATTTAATAGCAAGATGGATCACTCATATATCCCTGATATAAATCATCCTTTTCTCAAATGCAGTTAATATAACTTAATCACTGTAATTTAAAAATCTTGGGAATTCAGCTTTTGTTTCTAAAATATATTACAACAACAAGATGTGCAAAGCAGCAGGATACAGTAGTCAAAAGAACACAGGATCAAAGTTTTAGCTTCAGCCTCTCAATTAACTAGCCTTGATTTTGGGTAGGTGTGCGCTTTATTTCCTCTCCTGTCAAAGGCGTTGACTTGATGATTTTAAATTGTACAATGCTATGCAGTTCTATACTTCCATGAGTAAAAATTCAAATTAAGTTTTAGCCCTAGAAAAGTCAGATTGAAATTCTCTTATTCCGGGGATATGTAAATATTGGTCCCGATTTTCAATATCCATTAAGTGATGCAGAGAAAAATCCTATCTCCCCACTAGCTATCAAAAGTCCCACCTGTATGTGCTCTTACCATACAAAATGAAGTCAGAAAAATAGCTTCAAGGTCTAGAAGTGAATAACTGGCCTGTTCTAAAAAGGCTAACTTCATCTAATTCCATCTTCTCAAATGCAGCTAATATAACTTAATCATTGTAATTTTAAAATCTTGGGAATTCAGTTTTTTTTTTCTAAAATATATTACGACACAAGATGTGCAAAGCAGCAGGATATAGTAGGCGAAAGAACACAGGATCAAAGTTTTAGCTTCAGCCTCTCCATTAACTAGCCTAGGTTCTTTGACATCTTTTGTTAATCTTAGTAAGTCTATGCAAACGTGAAAAAAAAAGTTTTCTTAGGTCGTGAACAATATGTAAAACTGATTCGGTAGCGTACTTATTGCTACTGAACATCGTTATACATGCTACTATATAATAGGTACTATAGTTCTGTACACCATCTCCTTGACACCTCCCGTTAGATCCCAAGTTGTTCCCTAATCGCCACAGGAGCACCTGATACACATTAAATAATGGCAGACAGTGAACTGTAAACTTCCGAAAGGCCTGAGACTTAAATGCTCAATAAGTATTTTACTGAATCAATGAATAAATGGATGAATAAGTTCAGTCACAAACTACTAAAGTATCTGCCTCCTGTCTGCTAGTTAAGTAAGGTCTAGGACAAAGCAGTCAAAACGATAGCCATCATTACAACCTGAACGTCCTGTCATATCAAGAATTAAAAGCCCATCTCTACATTGAGGCAGATTCGACTGCCGGACTTGGGACTGGACGCCACCAAGTGGATAAAAAAAGGAGCTTGGAGAAGACTGGGTTCCTGGCCTCGAAGAACTGGCCACACGGTTCAGCGGGCGCTGAGGCCAAGGAAAGAGCGCCACCGCAGACAGTGTCGGGACCAGACTCTGTTGGTCCTGCTTGACACCTCTGTGTGCTAGAATGACTAAAGCTCCTCTCCTGACCCACCGGCCTTGCGACCTCGAGCGTAAAAAGAGATTGAGGTTGGGGAGGAGGACGCATCTGCTTACGCCAGGACCATTCTCCACGTCGGGGAAAAGCCCACACACTTACAGCTTGCACACCTGGCTTGCCACAACTCCGGTTCTCAGGCCCTCCGCAGCTCTGCGCCACTCCCACTCTGCTTCTTCCAACTGCCGGGGTTCCCCAACGACATTGAAGGGGGGGGTCGCAGTAAAATGACGTCACTTATCGTCATCTTGCCCTACCTACCTTCAGGGCTCCGCCTCCCGCTCTCTGTCGCGCGCGCGCACTACGTCCTTATGGTTTGCGCGAGGCGGCTCCTGGGCACCGCCATCTTGGCCGGTGGCCGTAAGAACACGCTGTTTGGCTGGGAAGTGAAGGGTAGAGCTGATTTGGCCTCTGCGCACCCCTCCGCGAGGGGATCGTTTTCTCCAGGTATGTGAATAGCCCAGAGGAGGTGGGCCTTTAGCTGCTCTCTGCCACTTTGGAAAGACTATAGGGACATACGCCGAGAGCCTTTGGTTAGGCCTCAGGTGGCGGCGGCGGAGACGACAGCGGCGCGTGGCAGCGGCTCCGGCGGGACAGCTGGAACCGCCGGAGCGGGGGCGGCGCCCGGAGCATGGGGGCGCCTTGTGCTTCTCATCCAGCCGACCTCGGCCGCTCTTGCTCACCACCCTCGCCATGCCTTCGCCTCCACTCCTCCTCTACGCCGCTCCCACTCTGGAACTAAACGTTTTGGAGAGGAAGGCGCTTTCAAAACTTAGAGCACCCCTAGTCCCCCGCCCCACGCTCCACCGGCACAGAAAAATGGGTATACTCGTATTGTCATATGTGCGTATTCGGCTGTGGGATGTCGTGGCTCTTTTTCCATCTTTTGGTTATTGTGGAATGAGTCATGGCATCTTGCCGCCATGAAATCGAAAACTGGTTGTCCACTCCCAGGCTATATACAAATGATGGCCAAATGTCGCTCTGCTTTGCTCATAGAGCAACGTTTACTAGACTGTGACTGGGATTATCCCAAGTAATTTCCTTGTTGAACGCCTATAGCTTTTTTGGTTCACTTCTATAGAGCTCGGCACTTCTCCCCTTGGTGACTTACCTTTATTACATCTGAAGCTCCTCGAGATCAAGGGTGGTGTCTTTACCCCAAATACCTTTATTACCTTTTCAGGGCTCCGTACATTGTAGGCACTCTGTACGAGGCAGTTAGTATTCGTATTTGTCCAGATGAGTGATGGCCAATGCCGAATTTCCACATTCCATGAACTACATAAGCATATTTTCTCTTTTTTCATGGCAAAATCGGTAAGAGTAAAGAATAACTGTTAAAGCACTTGTTTTATTTTTTTTATCCTCTCTTCCGGAGGAATGCTGAGTAGACATTTATGATAGTGGCATTCATGTTGCAGTCATTTGTCCTGTATACTGAGAATATTCATTCTGTACCAGCCACCTGACAATATACTATGTCAAAAGGCTCTATTGGAACCAGAAGGTGTTTTGGTTTTTTTTTTTTTTTTTTTTAAGTTATAAAGTTGCTCTTCCCTATTTAAAAAAAAATTTTTTTTTTAGGAAGAACTTTTAACATGATTGCTCATGGAGGGGGAGAAAGCAATATTAGAGTCCTTTCTAAATGTCTTGTATTTAATACTCTTTGAAGTCAGTTTCGCACCACTCCCAGCTTATTATAAATATTTTATAAGACTAATAACGTACAGTAAACATAGGTATAGAATATTTCATGTGATATGAGGCACTAACAGCAGTCTTTTAAATGCTTTTACATAGTGTAATAATTTTGGTCTTAGATTGCAAATGCTTTATGTATGCCTCAGTTCCTTTATTCCTGTCAGCTGGAAGAATGACACTGAGGGTCGTTGTTTAAGTATTTATTGTGAACAGTTTGTCCTGGGATCTGAAATATCTTCAAATTCCTCTTTGTTCCCAGGAGTCTATTCCTATAATCTTCCCCTATACTGTGCCATATCTTTCCCATTGAAAAAGTAGGGAACCCCTTTTTCCCCAATTCTTGAAATTAATATAGAAATTGAACTATTAGTGTTTACACAGTTAATTAACAGTTCTACAAAGAATCCATATTCATTTTTCTTAAATGCATTGTAATTTACCGCTATTTTTTATATATATAAATCAGTTTTTAACCACCTCTGGTATGTTTTTATTCTATAAAAATTACAGAATAATTTTTCTCTTATAGTCTTTTGGTTTTTAAAATAGTTTGAAAAATTAGACAAAATGTTTTAGTAATTTGACAGAAATAGCTTAATTTAAGCAATTTCATAAGATTTATCCCCTGATGGGGAATTTATTATGTCTTTCACTGGGTAATTTGTAAAAAGGCATTCAATGTTTAAATTAGAATGTATAATGTCCAGTTTTATTTTAATAGCTTACTAAAAAATCTTCAGTTCCTAGGAAGTTGTTATTTCCAGAACGATAGTTTTTTGGGGTTTTTTTTGGTAGCAATTCACATCATTTGATATTTTCCTCTTCTAATCTTTATGAGACCTGAACTTCTAACTTCTTTACAGGATCTAAACCAGTTTTTGTTTTTTTTTTTTTTTTTTTGTCTTTTTCCGTGTCCGGCAACGGATCGCAACCCTCAGTGTTGCCCCCGTACCGGACCGGGGACCGGCAACGGGATTGCAA